ACAGCATCATAAACAGCACCACATGAAATTACTGCTCAATAGCTTTCATTTGAATAGCTTTCATTTGAATGGTCACACACTAGGGTTTCATCCACAGATTTTATTTTAGAATCGCCTTCAGTAATTAACTCAAAGTTTAACTCTAGAAGTAAAGGAATAATTGCTAGAAAAACGTCTGTTTTAAGCGCTTCAACGAATGTAGTATTATTTCCAGCACTTGTGGTATCAAAAATAACTGTTATCTTTTAGAAGAGGCTCCAAGCATGTGTGAAAAGACTGAAATACAGCCGTTCTGTAATGAAAACGCTTGACATAGCTATTTCCAATCCAGCTGTCGTCATCCACGTTGTCTTGTGACACTTTGAATTGCCCCTCTGCTTGACTGATATTGGGACAGTTTTTCAACCAAAAACATGTGATTTATTTCCCTCTCTGACGGTCCGAAATACGAGCAGCAAGTCATTTAAACCAGCTTCTCAATATATTTTTAAGGTAAAATAAAGAGTTATTTAATAGGCATTTTCATTTCTACTTGTCAGCTCGAATTAATTTTACACTTTGAGAGTATGTATATTGGAGGTAATATTTTTCTCAATTCGAACTGGCTGCACTGACTTTGATCTTTTTCTTAATTACTTATCCCCAGACGTTGACAACGCCCAGAAATTTTTACAGCAAATGGATATCGCATATATTTTTTTTTATTAAAATGGTAACGGAAGTTTTAATGTGAAAATAAAACCTTTGGGTCGCGTTTTCTCGCGGCAATCAACCGGCTGAAACAAAAAAACACTTTCTCATTAAGAGGAAGAATTAAAATTGTTTCGCGTTTGTAATAAATGTCTCTTTGTTTAATCTGCCTTCCCTCACCTGTGGTGACACACACGAGCAATGTGTTAACTTTTTATTCGTTTTCATTCAATCGATGAATTTCACGGATAACAATACGAGATGCGCGTGGCAGAACACAAACGAAGCTGTCATTATCGAGTTATAGACGCCCGGTAGATGAAAAACACGCACTCTGACTGTCAAACTAGTTTTATGAACTGGAGCTAAAACTAATTAAACCCCAAGCAAACTGACCGCCAGTTTCATTCAGTTGAAAAAAAAAATGTGACACTTGACATGCAAGGAACAAAGGCACAACCAACGCTTTTATGAGCTCTTGGATTCTTCAAGTATTGAAACATCAATGTTGTGGGATATGCCATTTACCTAACGTTCTAATTTGTTCTAATGTGCTTCCGACAGACAGACAAAAAGTGTTGGACGTATTATTGAATAGCAGGGTGTGTGTTCATTTCCATTGTGAACAGATCCCGGGTTCTCACAAGAAATCGGCCACCATCAACAAACAAGTGAAACAAGGGGAAGTGGAAAACCTTCACAGTTAATTCTGTCCACAGAAAGTTGTGATGGCCATAGAAAAAATATCACGAACGCTAAGGACGCGTTTTATTGCGCAGATAAAGCTAGGACAAAATGGATAAACTTGTCAACTGGATATGAACCTGTATGTGCAAATGTGTTCCGAGTAAATACAGCGACATATTGCTTGATGTCTTAATTACTTAGTTAAACCTTATTACGCTTGGATCGGAAGCAGTCATCACTCTATTTACTTTCAATTCCAAACTCTGCCAACTTGAAGGGAATCGTTATTTCCACGCTAGGAAAATATTCCAAAAAAAAAATTACGATCGTCTTCTTTTTATTCTTGAATTCATAATTTAGGTATTTGTCAAGTGTATTATCTCTTGTGATCTGAAGGAGAAAAATGAAAAGTGATACGAGCCCACCCAAAAAAACTGAAAATTGATTTTTATTGGGTAGACTTGAAGTGAAGAACTTCATGGGGATGGTTTCCAAGCATGTTAAGAGCCTTGGGGCCAGTATTAAACATAATCGTTCGGTGTACCTCGCTTCAGTCGTTTCATATTTCTAAAAATCGTGATTCTAATCATTATTATAGCTTGAGAAGGAGTAAGCGATCGTGTACTCGGGGTGAGGTGTTGGTGAAAGTGTAGCAATCTTGGCAAGGCCCCGTAGCACAACGTTGCATGGTATTCGTACAGCATCTCAGTCCCGCATTCCCTCCACGGCTAAGAAAGTTGGAGATAACATGTTATCAGAACATAGCTTATTGATCATTTGCTGGCCGCGACGGAAACGTCTGTTCAATGGGTAAGGCAGAGATGCAACTGGTTACTGTCATTATGTATTTGTTGTTGTTATGAACTAGCGTGCCAGCCTACATATGGCTTCAGTTTTGGCTACTCAGATGAACTCAGGACACTGTTCTAAGTACAGTCATTCGGGTATATCTCTAGAGTTCGTCAAAAACCCTCATGAGTAATGAAGAAATTGTCTATAATTAACAAGGATAGAATCCCTTGATTTAGTCCTATCAGTGGCAAAAAGATGTACAGTAAATAGTCTATCTATCTACAATGTGCTATTGCGGCCGTGCAATCGCCAGCAGCAATCCCTAGCTTAAAAGCTGAAGAAAATGTAATGATTTATAACGTGAAACATTTGATTTCGCTCGTTTGTATTGACAAGCATAGGGATCAAACCTTTTTCTCCTAAATAGTTCAGACTCCGTGAAGTGACGATCGAGATGTAAAATCTTTATATGTTTATGAGGTCCGTTGTGGTAACGCCCGTATCAACGCTAGGTGGAAGTTGAGTTCAGAATAAATGTTGAAGTGAAACAAAGTTTGATTGCTGTTAATTCAAGGAGAAACTAGTTCGTACCGCAAACACTACTTAAAAGATTTCAACCCGCGATAAGATTTAGTAAGACATGTACAATCTTTAGCAAAATATTTCAGTTTCTCTCTTTGCACTGCTGACTACCGCTGTTATTGCTATCATTATTATTTACAATTTAAGTCTATGATATTTTATTCTCTGAAAAAATGTAGGTCTTACAATTCTTATTTTAAATTGTGATCTGAATTTTTTATGATGTCGAGCCGTGTAAGGCCCGAAAGGACCTTGTGTGAGAAGGCCAAATATTTGTTTCTATCAATTCAACCGAAAGAATAAAACATTCTATCCCTTCAGATTAATTTATGTGTAGCTGCAACCCTCCCATGACATCTTTATTATAAATTTAGTTAATTCTAGCTTGCACAACATTCCATTTACATTAGCATACGAGACCAAAGGAAGCCGAGCGGGTCTCATATACCAGCACTAGAAAAGACTTGCGTTAATTTGTTATGATCGTATTTGAGATTACAGTTAGCGGTTTACCTCTGTCCCCTAAAGGGGGGCTGTCTCAAAGCTCCTAAGAATCAACCGCTTTAGAGAATGAATGAAACCTTTTCTTAGTTTTATATAAAAGAATATGTTTCCAGTTTGATTCTGGAACGTGCGTTTTACGCTTGGAGCACTGGTCTTCGCACAACCACCTAATGAAATATAATTTTTAATCGCTCAAGATGCAAAATAGAAGCAATTTTTAAATTCCCTTCATTAGAGGAAGCTTGAATTAGACTTTTACTGCAGCGGGGTAAATGATCAAGGCAGTATCGAAATATTTGTGTCAGCTGCAACTGTAATCAGATAGTCCGGCGGCCATCACTGATTCAGCTGCTTGTATACCATTTACTGCTCACGTCCCTCAAAAAAGTAGTAAAAGGCATTTTAGCTTGGTGTCTGCTACATTGTTCTCAATCTTTTCACTGCTAAGTGGTGTAAAGAGCTCTGTTCTTAACACGGGCACGTTAGCCAGTTTTGAAGCCAGAAGTGAGAAGTGCGGTATAGTTCTTGCACAATGGAAATGCGCGAGTCTCGAGCGGCCATCTCATTCAGCTAAAAGAAAAGGCCACAGGCCTTAAAGGAATTTGTCACGTTCCAAGCACCTCAATTGACACAATTCTTTCATGACATTGACATTTTCATAACTTTCGCGAACCAAACCCGCTTGTCGGCTCTTCTTTTTTATGGTTTGTTTTTTCAGCGCGTCAAACAGTGGTCATTTTAATTTTCGTATTGCGGCCATGTTTACATTCAGCTACTGCTCTTAGATCAGCTGTCCACATTAAACAATGCCATATTGGTTGCGCTTTCTTTCTTATCAGCTGGTTAAAGCCGGTACTATTAAACATGAAAACTCTAGTACGAATTCATTCCCCGCCTCAACTCTGCAAATTAGCTCAGTGTGGTAGTGGGTTGAGGTGTTTTGAGCACCTTGTCAAACTGTGCCGCGCCTACTTCGTTTGTAGTGAACGGCTTATCTCTAACTTTATCGCAATCCTTTTAATTCCTTTATCTTTCCTGGCTATATTATACGATACGAAGTTCTGCATTTTGGCGCATATGGCATATTGAATTTATCGCTATATGCTCTGCCACGTGAGCTTTTGAAAAGCAAATCATTATACGCTAAGTGCTGGTAATCCGAAACCTTCTCAAGACCTGAATAAATCCATAATTTACATTTCGTAAAGGGTCGAGTGGCTTTCTTTTCACGGGTTTTTAGAAACGGTTCGGTGTAAAATGACTGCTCTTGAATTGAAAATCGTTTCACCTCCACGATCGAATTTCCTTTCTCGTGTTAAGGAAAGTATATGGTCGCTAAAGAGTTTCGTGGGACGTGCTTCTGATTAACACTGGCAAAGTTTCACAAGCGAGACATTCCCCGCTAAAGAAAGCCCACCGTGATTCGTGTTTCGTGATTCTTAAGCTGAAGTCTTGAATCACCATAGAAAAATTTCAATGAGTTGTTAAAAACGCTCGTTGAACCCTTAAACTGCTCAGAGTGACAATTTTTTACACTTCTAACTGTCCCTGTAATGAGACCCAAGAGGGTGTAATTTCTTAGTTGTAAATTGGTTTGTTTTGGAACCATTCAGCTTTGCAAAAATATAGTGTCGGATACAGCACATACAAGTGGCAAGCTAAGCTACTTACAAGCTTACTTCATTTCCTAGCGTATGTGGAGGTCAATGGCCGAGTGGTCAAATTCTCAGATAGCTGCAACTGCTACAGGTCGTGTGAACATTACAATTACTTTTTTCAGCATTTACTCTTTCCTCTTTTCCTCAACACCGATAATGTCTACCGCAGATATCTGATCGAAAAGCTGCGGTGCGGTTTTATAATACCGGTTGGAGAAACCCGTTCAATCATTTCGGATTCTACACTGGGCGGCAAGCGTCGTGGTTACATTAAAGGTTCGCTTTTTGCAACCCCAGAATTAATACAAACTTGAAGATAACAGGGGAGTTAAGACTTCCTTTATTGTCAAAATGGCATCGGTTACGAAACCAGATCTAGTGTAATGGCAAGAAATCTTGGTGATAAAAAGTAACTTTGAATTTCTAAAAGGGTGGCTCTTGGCTCTTGAAACGAATGCGGGTTACAGACAGTTTGGCGCCAATGAAATAATATACGAGCAGTTACTTCGCTGTTCAGTTGAGTTTCCCGCATTGAATTGTGACACACTGACCACAAAGTAATAAATATACACTGAAATATGGAGCAGATTTATCAGCAGATTAAAATTGTACTAATGCCCTGTATGCCATTTGTTTGTCAAAAATAAGACCGAAATAAACCAGGTATATCACGAACAGTCTATAAGAACACGGAGATTGAAAAGCGCGTAAATTTTTAAACAGAAATGTAGGTGGAATTTTTACGGATGCCTTGAGGCGAAGTGGTGAACTAGGTTAGGCTTGGATGGCGCTACAATGCAATCATCGAAAATTATTTTTCCTCTTTCTTTCGTTTTCTTTTGTGTGTGTGTGCCCTTTGAATGCTAATCCGAAATCAAGCGGAAATGCCACGTTCAGGAAAAAATTCTGAAGGATCCAGATAAAGCTATGTACATTTTATTTTGCAAAAGCCTGCTTGTGCTTTATAACATACCGCATTTTTGGTCTTCCATTTAGAAAGGCGATTTGTAAGAGCTCTGTTTGTTTACATTGAGTGCTATCATTTCAACTTTCGGGGCACAAAAGAAGAAATGTGCAATCGATACCGCAGTGTTGGTGTTAAAAAAAAGAGAGATTACAGGATTAATTTTAAGTCGCCTGACTTATCCTTTTTATGTCTGATATTTTTCCGTGGGTGTGGTTTTGGAGGTAGTTTCGAGGATCACTTTCACTCGTAGAAATGTCAATATCTTAGTGATGCATAAGGTCAGGTTAAGGCCATGCCATAAGACACTTTCAAGTCGTAAATTCTCATTAAGCAGCTGAAAAATCGTTTCTTCTTGCTGCGCTAGCTCATTTTGGATGTTAGAATCGACGCCAGAGAGTAACCGGACAAATCTATCCGGATTTAAGCGAGTCACGGAAGTCCCTTGCCGACCTGTTGTTCAATGAACCCTGACAACTGTGTATGTAAAGGAACTTGATTTCCATTCAGTTTTCATGTGTTCTTTTTAGTTTATACAACAACTTTATTCATTTACTAAAGAAGCACTTGGTTGATAACAACATACATACGGGTGTCATGTTTTTTTGAGTGTTTTGAATTTGATTGATTCAACTACCGAACAAAATGAAGTGTCGAACTACGGTTGCCGCAACCAGGCATCGATGGACTGAATAACCTCGTACCGACTACAAACAGTAAGCTTAAAGCCCTCCAAACCAATATAACTTATCAAGGGGGGTTCTTTTCGTAGCCACTTGAATAAAAATGAATTCTCGAAACTATCAATTTCAATTTTTTGGAGAGAACCTGTGCTTGTTTGTGAATGTCGAATGCTTAAAGAACTCTTTGTAAATCGAGTGTCTTGCGCCAGTGTTTGTTGACGAAATCCGTGTTGTGGTGTTAGAATATGGTAATTTTCGTGTTAAAATATGGGTAGTTTTCGTGTTAAAATATGGGTAGTTTTCGTGTTAAAACGCGTGGGTATTTGTTAGTTGTGGCAGAAATTGTGTGCAATTTTAGTTCAATAGAACTATATGGATAAATGTCTTTGAATATATCGGTCTACCTAGCGACTAAAGAAACCTCTAAGCCTTTACCAGTGGTTTTAATTTCAGGAAAAAGGTATTGCTCCAAAATACAAACGTAAGTTGTCGGCTGTTTTCGACCAAGCTGGCGTTGAATAAGAAAGTAATTCGGACTATATCTCCTATATATGCAAATGAAGTTTACTAAAACGTTCTCGTCGCGCCAGCCATTAGTTTAGAGTCTGCCATCTTGCGCTAATAATTGGCTCGACCCTTGCAGGCTTTGAACTCGAGAAATGAGCACAAACTCGCAGCCAAAAGTCGGCATTAGGTGATACTTATTTTCCAAGGAGCAGTCTTTTCTTGCTAGCCTTTGCATGATTAATAAATACTTACATCAAAATAGCTCAGTGGGGTGTCCCTTCCATATTCATAAACAAACGTACTGTTTTGGCTTCGTAACTGGTCTTAAAATGAAACTTAAGGGCTTCGGGGCTGGGCACGGTATCGTCGTACGGGGCAAACGAACTGAACCTTCAAGACTTCAGAAGGAGGACATTCTGCAGCGGGTGAAGTGGCTTCGTTAGATCTCAAAGAAAAACCCTTGAGTTTGTTGTTAGAAAATTCTTTCGCAATTGACATCGCTGCCTCGCTTTTCATCCCCATCTCTACAGATTGTGACAAATAGCTATGCGTTTTGTCCGTGACAGGCCGAGTTTTAAGCACACACGGTGGCGGAAAGCGATTCCATTTACTGCTAGTAAAACCCATTAAATTTTAGCCACTTACACAAAATCCCGCACTTTTTTCGCGGCTTTTTCCCCGGTTTTATCTGTGGCCACCAGCTGTGTGTGGCTGGTGGCCTCTAAAAGGGAAATAAAAGCCGAAAGCCAGTGAATGAATTGTAGATCAAATGATGAAGAAAACTCATAGCCAAGACTTGAAAATTATCATCAAAAAGTCGCGAGGAATTTACAGTTCAGTTGCCTTAACTTTAAGCTAGCGAGTACAATTATGATGGTCCTTTTATAGACAAACTTTTTTTTGTCACCTGTACATCGTACGTTTTACGCATCTCTAACTGCACATAATTCATTTAAAAAAAACACACATTTTGCGTCTATGTCTTAATTTTAGTGCCGACAATGTCTTCAGCGAACGTTCGCGGGAATATTTTCGCAGACATCAAGTCGCGATCAAATAGAGAAGTACTTCCCGTACTTTTCGAAACATTACTGAGTTATTTATTTGAACGTTAGAGCCCTCTCCAGTTACTCTGTAAAGAAAACAGCTAGCGACCGGCTGGAGCGATATAATTCTATGAGCAAGATATGGAGTTTATTGAATTTTTAGTTCGGTTGTTGAGTTATTCGCGGATAATTCTTCAATAAATTTTTGTCAAACTGCTATAAATTGTCGCATTTCTTTATTACACCCTAGGAAATCGACTGGCTCACAGGAATGCGAGGGCGAAAAAATAAGCTGTTAAAAAATACTAAATGAGTCTGAAAACTCATTTGCAAATGGGTTTTTGGGGACTGCCATGTCTTCAATTTTTTTTTAATGAGATGAAAACACGATTTGTCCTTTGTTTCTTTTATTTGAAAGTTTTTGTGTACATTTGTGTTGGATAACTTTCACAACTAGGGTGCAACTATAGGGGGTATAAATACATACATTTATTGTTCGTTAAAAATAGCACCGAAGAAATATCGATTGTGGATGTCTCTTAACTACTGGTAGAGTCAAATTTAAGGATGGTTGCCCGAGCTTCTCGACTGTTTTAGATTATTATTCCAGCAAGCTGCGGTGAAAAGTCAAACCGACCCGAATCTCTTGTTAAGTGAATATCTTGACGAAAGCAATTTTTTATGGATCAGAAACCATGAACCCTTTTAATTTAAAAAAGGCGAGTGATTTTCACGGCGAATGTAGACTTGAAGAAGAAAACTAGTGATTAAAAATTGTTCTTACTAAGGAGGATTCATAACTCTGCTAACACTCAACACTCGTCCCAACAAATGGTTTTGTTTCCCCAATTTATTAACACTTTTGAACAAAGAGGTATAAGTGAAATAGTGGATTAATGTTTTATTCATAGTGTTTTCTTCACGATTTATTGCGTTTTTCTTTCATTAACAAGGTCTTTGTCCCAATACCAGGCGAAAACTGAAGCGTTGAAGCAACAAAGTTTAGCTTTTTGAACAACGTGCTATCCCTCCGCTACAATGAGAGTTTTTCGTGTTTAAAAGTCGATAACGTATTCTAATTTGCTCAAACTCTGTGGCAACGAAGCGTCTCTCTTTGTTGTCTATAAACGTCTCTGTTATTTCTTGCCTAATCTGAAAGCAAACGAACGTTGATTCAATTTGCTAAAGATCCATTCTTGGAAATTACAGAAACCCCTCCTCTTTTTTCATCGAGTAAACACGAACGACAATCAATTATGGCATTCATACGCTCCGCTTCATAACATGACTCAATCCAGCAACAACCTTTTCCTGATTTTCACCTCAAGAGGGAAACAAACTGGTACTGATGCCCTAATGACAGAATTTCCTTGCTTGTTTGATTTCACAAAAGCAAAACTCTTAGTGCGAGAGTCCTGTCAACTCAGGTGCGAGAGAGCATCTCATAAAATCCTTTAAGTAGAACGAGACGTGTTGTTTGCCAAACATCGCGTTGTCAAATTTGATTCATCCAGTCGTGTCCCATTGCGGTTGTAATGTTTTCTGACAATTCGTGCGGTAATGTGAAACGATTTTACTGAGAAAGAGCGAACTAATAGCCGTTGACGTTTATGCCAAGCTCAAACAACCAGCATTTTAGTAAGGATGAGAAGAATTGTAATTAGAATTTAAGTTTGGCTTGGAAAGGATTATCCCTTGAAGAATGATGAACCCTTATCACTATCGTCTTAATTTCAGACGTGCATTTACTAAAAGCATTAAGAACAATTTTTAAAGCTACCTAGCAACTTATAATATAAAAAATAACTACAAAATCAAACTTTTTCGCGCTAAAGAAAAACCTATAAAATTGTTTCCTATAAAATCTGGCTACTTACAGTTTTTAAAAGCTCAAAACAAAATGTTTTCAAATCACACTCGAGAAGGACATCGAACAGCTGTTGAGTCACACGAAAACGCAACGTTGACGCGACTCCAAAGAAAACTCTTAGAATATAAACTAAAACCATTACATCCAGAGCAAAGCGTACGATTATTTAAATAAAGTGGTTCTTTGGAGTTAAGGATTTTGAGAATGTTGGCATATAAGCTTACAATTGACTTTGTAGCCTTCATCGTGACAGCCTGCTTGAAGGAGAGACCCGCATTGTTCTAGGTTTCTTCGCACAACACACGTTGTAATTGAATGTTTGTGCTACCAGTTCCAATACGGATTGCTTGGAGCGATGTAAGATGAAGTTACTGGAGGAAAATGATAGAAGTCCGTAGGATCATGACGTAAATATCCAAAATTATTGACCGTGCCGCCATGACAAGGCTGGCCATCTCGTACTAGCACGGGCACTGGTACAGTTCTTGGAGTGAACAAAGGAGCTCCTTCATTCATCACTCCTTTCTCGAAGCTCTGTTTCTTGTATTTATACCGATGATTCTGAAACCAAATTTTCACCTGCGTCGGGCTCAAGTTGATAATCCGGGCGAGCTGTTCTCGTTCGGGAGCGGATAAATATCGTTGTTGTCGAAACCTTCTTTCAAGTTCGTATGTTTGCGCCTTGGTGAAGAGCACTCGCCGTTTCCGCTTTTTTGGCGGATCACTCAGGTCATCTGGCGTTTCCTCTTGTTCACTTATTTCGTGGCTACTCGCCGAGGAGGTCGAGGGCTTTTCTGTCGGGCTCGGATGTGCATCTGTTATGGCGGAAAAACACAACATTTCATCAGTCTTCATGCCATGTAACGATATCTACAGCACAAACGGGGAACTGTGAACTTGTAAGAAATTAAGTGAATTGTAAGTTACAGCAATTAGCCCTTTAGTCTTTCCACGAGGTCTCGAGCGAAGAGCCCTCAAAACACCAAGTGATGTAGTATTCACAATAAAAATTTGAAACTGCAGCCATGTTTTCTGTCGTGTTTGTAATTGCCTCGTAAAAAACACCATTGTATTTCAGTTTGCCGGAAAAGAAAATTATTTGCGTGCGAAAAATTTCGGCGGCTTCTCGCGCGCAGCATTCGTAGCAGAAACCCTCTCGAAAATTGCGGCGAGTGTTTTACCAGCTATCAAGTTTAGTGCTTCATGAAGACCTGCGTTTACTTTTCGCTCGATCAAAGATACAAAATCAAGTTCATTCTTACTTGTATATGAGCACTCTTGGCCTTGATTACACACTACTGAACCACATGACGAAGTACGAGTGTTTCCGCCGGGGCTATGATAATTCGGTGAGGATTCACGCGTTGTTTCGCTTTTAGACGGGCACAGACCGGCTTCTGGTAAATTGAGGATGTCCTTGACGGAGAACGAAGTCATCTCGAACGGCCGGTCAATTGTGTACATGGGTCTCAGTTGACTGCCATTTACTAAGCCGAACGCACTCGCACTCCAGTCATGCTCGTATCCGCGGCGGCTCACAGCAACTTCTTATAGATCGGGGCGTGCCCAGACTCTCGAGTGGTGAACAAGATGTTTGACGTTAAACAAATGTTGCCTAAATTCGCCTAAGTCAACCTCTATTGATAGGTTAAGGTGGTGACGAAGTTGACATCACAATTAATTAGAAAGATAGCAATTGAATGCCCTGTCACAAGTAAACCCCTTTCGAGTGACAGATCTGCCCTAAAAGGCTTCATTTGACATGTCACGCTGGGCGGGCAGACCCGAATACTTATTTCCCCCGCTTAGAACTCAAACAACCATGGCTTCACCTTCAATGAGGCACCTTATTGCGATTCTGACGTCGCAAACTTAATTTCAAGAGACCACCACTCCTCGTCTCTCTGGTGCCATCGAAACTGCTCAAGAACGTTGTTCATATTCCCCTTATACACGCCTCTTCAGTTTCTGAAAGATCGATGTAATCGAAGTTGAAAGCTTGAATACCGACTAATGGGCGATCGGAAGAACGAGCTGCTAGATCAGCGATAAAATCTAGGAAAATTTGCACCTCTACTAATCACACCGGTTTTCGTTTTTTTCTTCCCCTAGTTTTGTCGAAACCTATTTACAAAAGCACGCACGCATTTAGCCGTCTAGTTCGCGTTATTTATTATTGTTTTTATTATTTTTTGGATTATAGACTCGATGCTTGAGAAAATACCACTTTTTCTAAGTGGTTGCTTATTGACCGGGTAAGGACAAATGTATTATTTCGCGCGCGGACCGGCCGGGTGTTTGGCTTGTTCGACAAATGGCATTCCACTTATTATTCGTAAAACTTTTAAAAACTGTCAACATTTTAATTACGCGAATGTTCGTTTGATTGTGGCATTATAAACGCTGCTTTAATGGCTCTCTCGTATTTTAATATTTTCCCCTAAAAAGCGAAATGTTTACGTTGTGATGGGTCAGAACCGTCAAGATCATCACAAAAGAAAGCACAAAATAAAAAGCTTGCTTTTATATCTACAATGAGAACGCTATTAATAGGACTGAGATATACAAGTAGTTAAATATTTTTTACAAGACTAGCTCGCGTCCTCCCCAAAGTAAATAGCACTACAAAACACCTGAAAGGTAATTCTTATATCATTTACTTTGAAAATCCAGCCGTTGTTGGCCTTAGTAGTACTTGAGCGAAAATTGAGTGCATTAACTGAACTTGGGTAATGCAAAACGAAATATTCCTCCCGTCAACTCAGAAGAAGGCTTTCGCGTTTTGTTTGAAAACTGGAAAAACATTGGGCGTCCCACGCAATTTTTTTTTCTCTGCTAGCGTTATTTGAGCAGTGCCTAGCGTTTTTCATCGTTAACAGGTACATTTTAAGAACTGTAATTATCACCAAACGGGTACAAACGTATTCTCGTTGGCTTCGTGCCCGTCGCACGCGGCGGAGTGGAGTTCAATTCCAAGAGGAATTCTTGAAAAATAAAAGCTCTGAATTGACTTTATAATTTTCATTAGCTGGGACTGTTGCCCAAGGCTCGTGCCTACATCCACCTGTTAATGAATTTTCTCCGTACTTAAGTTATATTGGCAAGTATGCAGGCAAAGTTTGTTCCTCGCCTCGTGTAAAGGGGGTTTTTCATTGTTCTCCTTTCATTGGCAGGTTTGACTTTCAGCTTTATTTTAACAAGATGTGTCTCCGTTCTGAACCGCACGGGAAAATTCTGCCCGCGAAATAGCCGTCTTGTCGGAGTCAGAGAAACGAGTCTTGTACAAGTTTAGGATAATCGATCGTTTTAGTGCTGTCTCATAAATATTTCACAGTCAAGAATGAAGTACAAGAGGGTATTACGTCGCTAAACTTATTTGCTTACCAACCAACCCATCCAAACAAACTGTTTGCTTGTGTCACTTTGTGAGCGACAGGCAGCCCATTATGGCATTACGGTGAAGATATTTTAATTTCGCTCAGTGAATATCGTAGATCAATAGAAATTTCGACATACAAAGTGTTTCTGTTTTTCGCGTGTTCCATAGAACTGACTGACATACAAACTCAACAATGCGGAGTTCATAAATAAACATTATCACCTAAAACGCCTAATACAGTTCAATTAGCGAGGATTAAAATTTTACGCCCGGAATCGATGTGTCTCTTTTCATTTTCTGCCCTCGCTTTTTTACTCGCGAGTGCGAACTCGTAATTGTGTTTGTTTGTTATAGTTTGTGAAGAGATACCCTCACCGAAACCGTTTGGATAAGAGCAACGCTTCGAAGACAAGAATTGGACTGACGAATTTCATTGTCTGTCCGCCAAACCATTAGCACCCGTTCTTCCAAACAACCACTAATTAGTGTTTAAAAAATTCGATGGTTTGGGCAACTCAGCAAATGGCTATATCGCCATAACAAGATCGGATTACTGTCAACGAGCCGCCTACTTGCGTAAGAGAGTCGATTGAAAGCCTTTCAAGAGATTCGCGGCATTTCTCAAAATGAAAAACATCTTAAGATCTCAACAGCCTGTAAAGTTCTCGCTCCTAACATGTACTCTTGAAGAACAACGAGGGACCTCAAGTGCTTCATGGCGCGGCGTGTAGTGCTTCCGTGAAGATCTCTCAATAACAACTGAAATGAGGTCGGGATGTCACAACCGAGCTATGAGCCCAGGTCTCGGTGTTAATCACACTAAAAAAAACAATAGGTACTCCTTGTGTTCGCCATTTCATTGTAAGTAATTTAAGAAACAAAGTTTAAAACTGGCCTCCCCGAAACTCTGCCTCCCATTTTTGTGGCGCTGAAAAAACATTTGATAATTCTCTAAAAGTAAGCCCCGCGGAATTACTTGCGGACAGGAATATAAACAAAATTTCACAACAACTTCATCGTTAGAGTTTTTCCTGAAGGAGTACATATCATTTTACGCCGATAAAAACAATCAATATTTTATGGCGTAAACTTAGTGAATTAGTTCAGAGAAAGTTTGGGCAGAAGCCATGTTAGTGAGGGTCGTGATAGATAACAAGTTTTTCAAATGAACTGTGAAAAATTCACTCAAATTATCCGAGCTTTGCACCGAGATGTTAGTTGCTCGGTTTTCGCCCCAAAGTCGGCAGCTGGCCATGGAAACCAGGTAAGATAAGTAAAAGAAATTCATTTGTACTCCTAGATTCAACTTTGTTGCTGGTGAACCAGCAATGAATAATTCCTTACCGTTTCAACAAAGTTATTGCTAGGACGGGTTGAGGGTGCTAATAGGTGGATCGACACCAGCGCAATGTCTTAAAACACCGGTTAAATTTGCCCTACATTACAAACAAAAAAGGCATCAAAATTCTTGTTACTCAATTAGTATTGAAGACAATTGAAGTGTTTTCGTGTTTCAGTTTAAGGTTGCTCAGTTGTAACATATTTTCCGTCTACGGAACTCTAGCGGCAAAAGGTTAACAGCAAGAGTTAGGGTTTTGTTCTAGTACCCCAGTATCCCGATCCGTCGTTACGTGTTCAATTAAGCTTGTCACTTCGTCGATTGAGACTATCGCCACTGCGAGTTTTCGACCGTTTTAATTTGATTAGAAATGCATGTCTCATCACTGAAATTAACCATGAATACTTAGTTTATTCTTGAGTTGACTTTCCGGAGTCAACTTGCGCAAATTATTGAATTGACAAGAGCCAAAACAAGCGGGTACGGCAACATGACGGCGCGCTCGCATCATGGATGTATTGAATGCTACCTTAACAATACGTTGATGTAAATTGTCAAAAAAGATCATCTTATGAGTAAACAAGAAAATGTCCCGTTCTGGATAGTCAAACAGTCTTCTGTATCTGTTTCATTAAAACCATCTTCATTGCTAAGTGGAAGACGGTTTGTTTCCGCCACGTCAAAATGCCCGCGTATAAGAATCCATCAGTGTTCATCTTACCTCACGGAAGGTTGAAAGGAAACGAACGGAGTGGAGTATGCTATAAACTTTGAAACTTTTGCTCAATTCCATCCCTCGGTGAGACTCCTATTGGTAATTTCACCACGTGGAAAGAAAAACAAATGGAAAAAGGTGAGCCTTTTTGTAAAACAATTAGCAAAAAGACGAGAGTATTGTGATGTTCTTTGGCGCGTGTTTACATCAAAGAACAAAGCTAGTCACAGTGTTCTTCTATCGATGCCTCTTTAGTTTTTTTTATAAATATCCCCTGAAAGTCTAAACTATTGAACTCATATCATATGTAAATAACCACGACTCGACCTTGATAACACAAAGAAAATGATGTTTATACGGGTAGCGTGTTGTAGTCAGCTCAACCAAATTATACCTCCTGAAGTTTAGCAGAAGAAAACTATAATTTCCATAGTTTTGACGAAGAGCTTGAAAGAAAGAGCGACTTACCGTTTGAATTTAAGCTTATATTTAAAGGATACTTTCTAAAAGTGAGTTTATACTTGTGAACAATGAACATAAAAGAACCATTTAATGTATTCCCAATGAATTAAAGCCTATTCTTAGGGCAATTCTTTGGTTGCCTTCTTGCAATTGTTCAATTTAGACAAAATGTCACATCTGTCAGACCCCAAAGTGAAAAGTTTTTCTTTCATTGTTAGCAGAGCCCACACACTGTTTACACTCAAAGCTTCGCTCGTAAATTGAAACAAGCACACTTCCATTGCGGATACATCAACTGTGATGGCCAGTGCAAACATATTAATGCAAGAATTGCTCTCTGATCGAATTATTCAGCAGCGATTAGGAACAAATGAACTTTATCGGCTTTAAATGAGAAATTTTGAACCAGTATTTTACTGAACAACCTTAATAGATCTGCTAGAAACTGCTTCAAAAATCTTAGTGCGTAATCTTGGAAAGTTTACCCTTGAGGAATCGAGTTACACCTCTTGAATGGTTTATTTTCTATTCAAATTCTCTGAAGAAAAAGAAATTGAGACATATATCGAAATACACTGGACTACATGGCTCTTGAAAATCTGTTGAAAGCCTCTTTCGTTGTTAGCTCATGTATGGCGTAACACCAGGTATCAGAAGAGAACTTATCTCGCCTGTAGTTAGAACGAAGGGCTGTTTTCTAGACGAAATAAAATAATTTTTACGCATCAACCCGTCAGACCTAACAAAGTAACAAAACTTTGATTACTTTTGTGTTAACACGCTTTCTAACACCACCTATTAATTTTATGTATTAGCCTCGTGTTTGTCTTCTTTGTTTCGAGATTTACTGCCGGAAAATGTTGAACTTTCGCTTTCAAAAGAATCATCCACTGTATGTACTTGTTAATCACAAAAACATGAGCTAAACATTGGAAAATGTCTTGAAGAGGTAACGAAGCCAATAAATTCGTCTCGTGACAAAGCTAAGCCTTCGCCGAAACAAACAATTCGGTAAGACAGTGAAACCACATGTAGAATTAGTTAGTTTCTTCAGCGAATGTCGAACTTGCAACCCTAAGTGAAGCCAATATCATTTAGCACTACTGAAGCCATAACAAAACCTGCGAAGTCTTACAAAACGTAACGCGGATCATAATACTATGTAATAAAAACATATTCAAAACAAAGACATGTCCAATTTGATGAAAATTCCAGCGAACTAGTACGATTCTTGGTTTCTTTGTCGATTCATTAGTCGTTATGAATCGACGAAACACCATACAATGCACCACCATCACCCACGCGACTTTGTGCAATATAAGTAAAGGAATTAATCCCTGACAAAGGAAAATATTTTTAGCTATTCTTCAGTGTATAAGCAGGTTATTTTTTGCAATAAACTACACATGAATGACATAGTTAGTATATACAATGAGAGAGAGAAACTCAGTTAGTTTAGTTGTTTAAAAAAGTAACATGAAAAAGCTCAATACGCTGTAAAACGTCTCAAGTTAAATCCAGTCAAACTTACATGGTCAAAATTCACTTTTCTCTTTACAAGAAACTGGAGCAATGAAGGTCTTTGTACAAGCTGGAAGGAGTTTCGAAGAAGATGAAATATGTGAATTTAAGCTTTACTGTTGCTATCCATATTTGGCGTGAAACTATGAAGCACATATGTTTAAGGGAGCTGGCCTAAAAGGACTTCGGATTTATTTTTGCTTTATTTTACAATTTCTCCTCGTAATTATAACCCAATAATTATTGTTTTACCCAGCGGCTAAGCTGGCGAACACGGTACACGGAGTATTATTAATTCATGACTTAATCTTCAAGACAATTCTAACACCAGAAGCATGTTGTGTATTGGACTCGTGTGTAAAAACAATTAGATTTTACATAAATTAGTCCAACTGGGACACCGTAAACGCCAGTGAAGGAAAAGAAAGGAAGTGTAATCCGCATAGGTAACGTTTTGGATGCAAGCTAATAAAAGACACGACAAAAGAAGTGGGAGGATAGAGAATTTAGGTAGCAAAAGGTTTCTGGTGATAAGTCAATAGCCGAACGCTCCTCTGTCCCTGGGAGGGCGGCCTGTACATCATTGCTAATTTCCTGAGATGTTTAAGAGTAGACAATGTTTACAATGTCACTTCACTGAAATAAGATATGAGAGCTTTTCGCAGCAAATCATGAAGATTGTATCCATACTGGACAAAACTTCTGTGCACTGAACGTGTTCCTAACCAAAGGAGGGCGTAATCGCACCTCTGTCATCGGACGGGGAAATAATTGAAACGAAATTGCTTGGGCCGTTCTCGGAGGTTTTCAATGATTTCCAAATCGTGACGATGTAATAAACGAAACAATAAAAACAGAGATATACGTAAACTTCCTAATCCGCCAATCCAATTAAAACCTAAGTCAACAGAAGGCAGTGCAACAGCACAACATGTGTGAAATAAAAGCAAAAGGAAACCTCTCGGACCCAGAGAATAGAGCTGCTGTCAAATTAAATCCACTGATTTGACAGACATTTAGTCGTACCTTCAGAGCAATCAGTCGATGTGTCACCACTGTCATAGCGCTTTCTCTTAACAAAACAGCCTGATGACAATCAAGCCAATTTGTTTTATTTCAAATGGCTTGTCGTGTGTTTGAAGTATAGCCCCGCCCATGTTCCCGAGACCAGCCTGCCCTATGCGTGCGACCTGCTTTTAATCTTGTTATCTCGGCTCCCAACACAATGGAGCCCATTTGAGACCGTTTACACGGAACGCGAACATGGGATCCTTTTCCATAAGAGACATTCTTAATCTTCCAGAGGACAGGATTCGTTCATTGAATACCAAAGGCGAGGAGCAGATGTCATTTGAGGACAGGAGTTGTACACCGCGCGTGCAATCCAGCCCAGACGAACCAGAGCTGACTCACGCGCCCGAGATGGCAAAGTCAAGTATGAATTATTTTAGTATTACTGAAAATTTCTTGATATATTTAAGGGTGCCGCATTCAGGAAACAGTATCTGAGACTCGAGTACAGCGCGGGAGATTAGCGGACTGAAGAGCTGTTTGTTATGGAGGATAGCGAGAAAAGGATTTTATTCAAGGGAGTTAAAGCATAGTTAAGCTCTTCAAACCTCACCATATCGGAGAAATCTCGAAGTTGCACTACTTAACTGTCAAGCTGTTTTTATTATGCGTCATAGTAGCCTACTGCATACAGCAGCTACCAAAGAGTTATTCAGTATTGTAGCGAATAACATGCGTCTTCTATCACCACTTATACCATCAATAGAAACGGAAAAAGTTTCAAGTGATTAAGACTGCTATGGTGCGAAAAATATGTCAATGAAATTGTCAACCTTTCGAGCCGGTGCGCTGGTTGTTCGGGCACCGTTCGTCTCTATTCATGAAGCTGTCTAGCTGGTGCGGAGCGCGTGATTTAGCGTGCTCTGAATAGAGGATTTTTGACTTCAAGGACTTTAAATGAGCAAATCCAGATTTTCATTCTCGAGATAAGGTGAATAGATGTAATCCAAAATAGATTATTCATGTTTCATGATGTTACTGGTAGTCTGTTGAGAACCATGTCAAAAGCAACCTTTAACAAGGACAACTCGCTTTTCACCTTCGCAGGCGCCCAGCAAGTAGTGCCAAGCGCGCAAGTTCTTGACTCGTCGAAAAAGGACCAAACAGAGAAAGATATCAAGAAACGCAAAAGACGAGTCTTGTTCACAAAGGCGCAGACCTTTGTCTTGGAAAGAAGATTTCAGCAGCAACGCTATTTGTCTGCACCCGAGCGTGAAGAGTTAGCAAGGATAGTGAATCTTACTCCAGCACAAGTCAAAATTTGGTTCCAGAATCACAGATACAAATATCGAAAGCAGATTAGCGAGAGAGGTCCATGGGATAAACCTTATTCGCCTCTTTCACAGGGAGCTTTACTCAACGGCTCCGGACAGTTTTGCAGTTGTGTTAGCCCGTCTTGTACGAGTTACCTAAGCGGGTCTCCGTACCACCAAGGAGACTACCTTCACTACCCACCTCCCGTGAACTCTACTTACATTCAGCCAACAACATATTGGTGAAAATTACAATAACTTTCAAAGTGACTCATCGCTAAGGACAATTAGTTGTTACAATGTAGAAAACGCAGCGTGGAGTAGTTTATTTATCAAGCAGTACGTTTATGTTTTAAAAGTAATTGGAGCAAAATTTCATTGAGCTAGCATTTGTCTAAAAATAGATAAAAATGGGTGAAACGTTCCATTTTATAGCGCCTAAAGAAAATATTATCTGTATATAAGTATCTGTAGTTAAGTTATAGAATGCCAAAAAATAGGTTTGCCTGCTGTAAATTTAACGCTCGTTCAAAGAAATAGATTAGGCCTCCTTTTCAAACACTTGTCTAGTTTGTTCAATAGAGAACGCTCATATTTACTGGGACAGAAAATTGTAATAATAGAGTAAAGGCTTTTTAAAATAGCAAAAAAATCTTGTAAATACTCTAAAATTTTACGTAAAGTGATTGTGTAATGTTTTGTCTGCTAGGCGCTAAATATTGGCGATGTTTCAGAGAGATAAAATAGAATGTGCAGGAAATATTAGCTGTGTGTGTTGGACATTTTTTGTGTATTCATCTGTCCTTTTTACTTTTTTTATAGAGCTCTTAAGTCGTCAGCAATTTTTCATCGTGAAAAGAAGTGCAATTCAGAGCAAATCAAAAACGTAATTTAAAATCTTTGCCAACCGACGCGAAACGTAACATTCGATTCATCATCCGCTTAGCAATATGTCCCGTGATTTATCGTTGTTATATGAAGTTTGGATGTTGTGTCAAGCTTATTTTTCATTCAAGCCACTTGTTAGAACTACTATTCTAAGACACAACAATGAAAGAAATAATCGACAGGGTCGGCTTTCTGTACAGGTAACGAATTGTGTAAGCTCGATTTTTACGTTTCCATGAACTTGTGCCATTCAAGAGAGACGTCGAACTTTTTGTTGGCTTTCAACGCGTTGAGCTTGTGCCAGTGTTTCACTCGCAAGAGTCAGTTCATCAATCGCGGTTGAGATTTACCGTTATTGTTTTCAAGAGGTAACCATTTGCTTTGAAAAGCTATATTTCGGTATTCTGCTCGTCTCTTCATGGGATCAAGTTTCTTTTGTATTTAAATATTTAAACAGTTTCGTTAGGCCATAGCATCAATATTGAATCTAAAAGATTAGGCTTAGTAATCGACCAGAAATAACAAAAACTGTTTTGTTTTGTCTGCTATCGGTTAAAGAAACAAAACAGAAAATGAAACCAGTAAATGAAGTCACCCCCTTGAAAACCTCCAAATATCAAGGTCAGACTGTTGTTTTTATGGAACTGTTGATAAAAAGGTTAGCTATCTTCGGACATTTTTTTTTAAGTTAAGTTAGCTTTGTTTGCTTGGACGAATTTATCCCACGCAAAGTAAGAAAAATTTTTACTCCGTTGCAGGCGTAAATGAAAAAATTTAAAATAGAATTGTGGAAACTACCTGTGTCGAGCGTTTTAGCCAGATTCGTCGATAAGTTACTATTTCAGAAATTTGAGAGACTTGGACCTGTTAAGAACGAAAAAAAAATTATATCACCTTTCATCTGGACATAAATAAAAGATTGATTTAACAAAGGATGTGGTAGAAAAACCTAACTTGGACATAGACCAAAAATTGAAAAAACCTCTTTTCAAGACTTTCTTTTCAAAGCTCTGATTGTTACAGTTTATTAGCCGGTACAAGCCGTTGCGAAATTTTAATTAAGTAAAACTCGCAGCCTTGGTTTTCTAGCCTGGGAAATTTTTCGAACATCGATATTGGTGGTTCGATCGAAAACAGGAAGACTGATTCATATTTCTCAGTTCAGTGAAAAAACAAAGTTTACTTTGTTACGCCTGCATACACGTAGGACCGAGGGTTTTATCGTTGCTTGTTTAAGGATTACTTGTATTGACTATGAAGGCAATAAAGGGTTTTTATTTAGACTTTATATTTCCTACATTGCGAGCGACGCAGGAAGTTTGCCGAGAAGTGTGATTTCATTGCTACATAGAATTAGTCTCGCCAACAGATTTCGCCTCTATACATTTTATTTTTACATTTAATTAGCGCTTCGCACTTTAACACAGAAAAGATGACGCTTTGGATCCGAGCCACACACAAGTTTAATTGAAAATATTGCTATATTGCTGACAACGGAAGCAAATTTCCGTCTTCGACGGCTGCATACTCCTGGGTGGGAAATTCGCGATCATAAACCTATTTTGGACACAATTTCCTTTCATTCAAAGGGAAACGGTGTATTTTCGGACAATTGGCAACGGTAGTTTTGTGAATACTTTCCTTTTCCTCTATGGCTGTCAACACAGAATTAAAAAACCATCATTATCTGTGATTTTGTGTCAGAAGGTAGTGACATTTCAAAGTTATTGGCTAAATAAAGGTTAGGAAATGACTGATCAAACAGGCTCGCTTGCACGTTCAAAACCATATTCTTAAAGAACTCCACTTGAAATTTTTAATTTTTCGCGAAATCAAAACACCTCTAAGTTCTGGATTGATTGATCTCTGATATCGAGAACTAATTTTGTGGCGGGAAAATAGAGTTGTTATATGATTGAGTGGTTCTCGGTTACAAAAGGGATAGAACAGCTAGTGTTTGTTTATTGGAGCAGCTTTGTGTGACCAACAATAGTTTAATAACACTAACTTTAATTAAAAATGGCCGTTTACTGTGACCGTGGTGTTGACTCTAGTTTCTGTTTCTTTTATCTTTGTCGTCTCAGGTGCGGCTGCGAATTTCTTGAAATGGAAATTCATTGGTTATTGCAGAGTCAGTTATTGTAGAATTTTTTTGAAACTTACGTAAGTTATTTTTAAAACAGAAAATTGTAATTAGTGATATCGTGTTTCAGACGCGCGAAGGTGCTTTGTACAAACCAAACACAAGGAAGTCTACCAAACTTCTACTGTCTGTTACGATCGAAATTTTGTATAAACTTGAGCTGACGTTTCCGAAATTTATCTTCGCATTTCCTTAATAACACAGTTTACACAAGGTTGAAATTAATTCAATTTCAATTTTGTGTGTATGCGATAAAAATTGTAAATTGTAAAATTTGAAGGCTTGTTAGGTGCTGTCTGCTGAAAAAAAGAGATTTCATTAGCACGTTTGGAAAATGAAACAAAAAGTCATATTTCCTCCATATGTTAGATCAATATAACCCGTAAATTTAACCGCCAATAAAAACCATTGCAATAGCATCATAATTTTTAAAGCAAAGACTAAAACGACAAACTGCCAAACCTTTTTATGTCCCTAACGCGAAAAATACACAGAGCAGAAAAGCCAAACGGTTGTTTTCTAGTTGTAAACCTTGCAGGTTTTTCTTAAAATGTCTTTTCCATTCTTCTTGTTATTGCCTTCACCTAATTTTCTAAAGAAAAGAAATTTGTATGTGGCATTGTTTTTATTTCGTTGTAAAATTAATTTTAACCTACAGCAGCTCCGCGATAAAATAGGAAGAAATAAAATGATATTTCTGCGGTGATACAAGTGGCTTTTTTTTTTCAACCAAAACTATTCTACACCAAAAGACATCGTTCCACGTTAGTAGGAACGAAACGTGGGGGAGCAAACATTAGTTTTTTTTTATGCAGCCCAACTGATGCGTAACAAACTCGGTGGTTTTTATGCACGTACGCCCGCGACCCGAGAAAACAATAGAGTAGAGATGTTGATTTATTATTCTTCAAGCGGAGTTCATAATAAAGTGAAGTTGGACTCGAGTGTATCCATTTTCGCACTCTATGATCGCGAGTGGCCTCTCTTATAACTGTGATTTTTCAACGGAAGATCAATTCTTTGTGGACCGACGAAAGAGAGGGTGGGACTTTACAACAAGAGGCTTATCACGTGATTTTAATGGAGATAGAGATGAAGGGAAGAAAACTTGTCAACGTTGATCAAACTTTGTTCCTTGTATGAATAATATTGTTATTCTCTCCAGACTTAACAAGATAAAGAAGTTGACGAGCGAAGTTTCATGTTATATCGATCTCCATTTTGTTTAGCAAAATAACACACCTTTTGAGCCGAAGTTACCTGTCGCGGTTACTCACGAATCTATTTTGAAAATTTTGTTCAGTTTTTTTTTGATGACATCGTGATAACTTTTTATTATACCAGCATGTTTTAGATTGTTTGTTTAACACCTTTATCTCAGTTATGAGACTGAAGTTCCGCAGCCTTCGCTTGTTGATCTCTGTGTTCATCTACAATGAATTAGGTTTCAAAAGGCAATTTCATGCTTTCACTTCTGTTTCCGATTAAACCATCACAGATATCACACGAAACAATATCATAATATTTTCTTTCCCACCTACGACATGTTTAAACATGGCGTGGAGAAAGAAAAGATTTCTCTCGATAAATAAACAAAGCATTGAATACTTGTCATCAAAAATAAAAATGTCACCCACATGCGATAATTTCTGTTGTCAATGGAAACGAGATAAATAGCACCTTTTTTCACGGAGCATTGATCTTTCTGACGTTTCATTTCAGCTTAAAATGGGTGATTAGATTGTTAGATTTTTTCATTGAAAATGAATAAAGGTTTATCTTTAACAACGTTTCCAACGGCAACAGCATTGACTGATTGACTGCATACAAAATCATGGGCTCGCTACGTGATGTTTGTAAAACCACCGCAGAGAGCAGAAGTTTTTGTAACAGGGTATCTTTAGATATCAAGATGACATCAAGAGATGTTCGAAGTACTGTTTCCAAAAGAGGAATATCACAAATTAAAAAGTTTAAAATTGATCATCATTGCTGTGAACAATTAGTTCACTCAGTACGACACGAGTCTTTTCTCAAATCGATTTCTCAGTTTGTACAGCTTCGTGGCTGATGAAGTCTGTTTAAACTGAAACCGAAAACAATGTCGAGTTTTCGTCAGTTACTGGCTTTGTTAATTTCATCAAAAGAGCTATTGTTTGCCTTAGAGAAGGTATCCTATCAGCAGAGTCGCCCTCGATCTTTATCGTGGACAAGGAAATTCACAGAGTTCCACAGAAAGTTAAGCCAGGAGCATTTTGAGTCTCATAAAATGTCCGGATTTCCTCATTTCACGTTGCTGTTGCTGTAAAGTACGAGGATTTTCTCGTCAAATAAAACCCCGAGAATTTTCGGCATAGTTGGCAGTGAAAGCCTACTTTACGACCAATTATTCACTCAGGATCGTTTCCTTATTACGTTCGCTTACTTTTCTCCCCAGCATAACTTAGTCCGTCATTTCCTTTAGTTGAAAACCCCGTTAATAGGGCTACCCCTAGGATTACAAATACGATCAGATTGTTGCATGCCATGGCTATTTGGTGGTCGGATTAACAGAGCACCACTTTATTTGGTAACAGAAAATCAGTGATGAAATGTCTAGCTGTGCACAGTTTCGAAATTATCAGTCGTGATACTTTTGATTCCAACATTTCTCAGCAGTGTACACTTGTTGGAATTTTAGTTTATTCAAAAGGCTTGTTAATTTAATCTAACACTATGTTTCTTAAGTGTATGCATCAGGTTGCGGTACATTAGCACCGTAGTGTGACATATCACACCGATATTGCTACCCTCTGGAAATCAATTCAATTTTCTTATTATCGCTCACACAAAAGCTAAAGTTTGTTTTTCAAACAGCAGCAAACAGTTTTGGTTGTGTTAAAAGAAAAGGCCATCAAGTCGATACGATTTCTTTATACAGCTGTTTTGTTTTCATGGGTCGTTCCATTATGGTCGTGTTAGCCTACCAAAAGTTTTTCAACTTAGAACCACTTTGCACAGTGTAATGTAGCACATGAAAGTACTGCTCAATAGCTTTCATTTGAACGGCCACACACCAGGGTTTAATCCACAGACTTAAAAATTAGCACCACTTTTGTACAGTATAATAAACAGCACCACATGAGAGAACTGCTCAATAGCTTTCATTTGAATGGTCACACACTAGGGTTTAATCCACAGACTTATAATTTTGAAACACTTTGGACAGCATAATAAACAGTGCCACATCAGTCAAAGTACTGCCCAATAGCTTTCATTTGAACGGTTACACACTAGAGTTTCATCCACAGACTTGGAAAGTCAGAACCATAATAAAAAGTACCGCATCAAATTACTGCTCAGTAGCTTTCATTTAAATGGACAGACTTAAAAGTTCGAACCACTTTGTACAGCATAGTAAACAGTGCCACTTGAAAGTACTGCTCAATATCTTTCATTTGAATGGTCACACACTAGGGTTTCACCCACGGACTTAAAAAATTAGAACAATCTTGTACTGCTCAAAATCTTTCATTTGAATGGTCACGCACTAGGGTTTGATAGAGAGACGCAAAAGTTGAATTAGATCCACAAAGTGTTAATTTTTATGCATACTGGTAGGTAGCTCGCTTGTCTTTTGAGGGAATTGATCTTCTGTGTTTGCGATTCAACTGTGTCTGAGGGTCCTGTCTGTATGCATGCATGGGCTGGTCTGAATTTATAGATTTTATGCTTGAGTTGAGAACACATAAGTTCACCTCATGACTTGTCTTTTTTTAATCTTGTATTTTGCTTGTATGCCTGAGAATAATTTCCCTGCATAGTCCCCTGAATTTCATTCTCTTATTTCATAGTCAACTTAACCAGTTTTGTGGGATTTGTTTAACTCTGGTGTTTGCTTGAGTTTACAGACCATGCAGTTTACAGCACTCCCATCTCGCTTCGACCACTTCATCATTTCATGAAACTTGCAACAGTTTTTCATCTGTTCATCCCTAAATTGTTTATCATTGTAGAGGCATTATTTGGATCCTGCTAACTATTGTGTTTCTGCAAATTTTCATCAAGTTGAAACCTGTGTTTGAGCTCATTAGCGAACTTGCAACTCTTTGCGCAATTTTCACACACGTTCTGGCAATAACAATAGGCCTTCTGCTCTGTTGTGTAAAATGTAAATAAACTTGGACGCAAAACTAACAAAACAATTTTCCTTGTCACCAATGAGGACTATAGGTTAAACCCTCCATTTACATAAAACAAAAATAGCTCTTTTTGGATGTTTATCTGGGTCTCATCGAGTCACTGCTCGATAATTTGCCAAAACAAGTTTACCGACCAAGGTTGCAGAAGAGGAATTGTGACGAACTAGTTCTAAAAATGTTTTTAACTCTCGCCCAAGTCGTGATTTAGTTGGGCAAATCTTGAATTCCGACGTTTGGTTTCATAAATCCTAAAATTTCAAGATACTTCATACTTGTTGTTATTTGCAGATTGTAATTTCCGCTTCGTCGGCGATAGCATCTGATCCTGTTATGGAATTAAAAGTTTACCTTCCACTAATTGTCGAAGTATGAGAAAAAGAATGAACCTTAGGTCTTGTGATCCCCAACTACAATAGTGCTATAAGCTTGATAAACTGGTCAGCTAAGTAAGCTAAGACAGTAGATAATAAAAAATCCCTTGAAATGAAGTTATTTCGTTTCAGGTAATTACACATTCCAGTATATAATTGGGAACGCAACTCACGAGAGACTGACAAGGGTACTTGTAACGTATATCTCTGAGTTAAAAGGGGTTATTAAACCCTTGTGCGTTCCGTGGAACGAAGAGACATTTTGAAAGCCACATCCGGTTGATGTCTGTTTTTAACCAAAACAATCCAACTCTGTCTGGAGCTGAATAAACTTCCCAGCACGAATAAACAGAGATAACTAAAACCACGAGCGTTGTGGATGTGGGAAAGCGGTTTAATGCCACCCTGTGGCATTACGCACCCCAATTTGAGTCCATGTCGTTTTTTGACGCGATTTCCAAAAAGCGTTTTCGACACACACTCTTTCGTGAGAGGGTGTTTTGCTTTGAAGAGCGCTTGAATCCTGAAGAAATGAGGATAAGATTTTAAAGGTCACTTATCAAATCTGGTTATGATTCGATTGAATAAGTGTACAAAGACACGTTCTAATCTGCACTTGAAATCCGGACGAGTGGGATTAGCGATAGTTATGTCAGTAATGCGATACTGTCTCGCAATTTTTAATGTACCAAGAATACACTGTGTCTAGTAGAGGATGGTTAAATATGAGATTAACCAAATACCTCTCTCCTGATAAAGAAACATTTTTAATGAATAAAATCTTTCTCTCCCACAATCCTGATGTTCTCTGATTTGCGTTTGAGAATATACAGTTCTGCTTACTTGTCATTCAACTGAGTCCACCATGTTGCTGTTTACAGTTAGCCGCGAGCAAGTTCTCTTGAAGTAAGCGGGCGGAAGGAAAGAGAGAGTTTGGTCGAAGTGTGTGACCATTCAAATTGAAGCAATCGTGCAGAACTTTCATGGGACACTGTTTATTGTGCTGTACAAGGTGATTCTAACTTTTAAGTCTGTGGATGAAACCCTAGTGTGTGACCATTCAAGTGAAAGCTATTGAGCAGTACTTTCATGTGGTACTGTTTATTATGCTGTACAAGCTGGTTCTAACTTTTAAGTCTGTGGATGAAACCCTAGTGTGTGACCATTCAAGTGAAAGCTATTGAACAGTATCTTCATGCAACACTGTTTACTTTTTCAGTATTTACATTTCTTAAACGTTTTTAAATCGGAAGTAAGAGGGTAAGGTCACACAAACACGACTGGAGTACATGGGTGGGTGTGGTTCTGACACTTCTCTCACTTGGCCTTGTATTATACTGTTTCTGTTACTTGTGTAGGATTTATGTCAAAGAACATCCGCTTGCCCGGTATGTGTCACTTGTACTTAAAAATTGTAATTTCCTTCTCTATGACTTGTCAATTTCTTCATCGAAGAGTAAAGTATTTGAATAGTTATCAGGGAAAACTGTTCCCCATTGGTGAGCAAGCTGGAGGACGAAAGATTGTCGGGATTCTGTACATTACAAACGATAGTTTAGCTTTCATCTGAACTTTACGCTATAATGACCACACCTGATTGAGAATAGCACAGACAAAAACCAGAAGATCTTGCTTCAATTAACGTTTAGTACTGTGAATAAAACCCTAGTTTTAGACCTATCAGTTGAAAGCTATTGAGCAGGACGTTCATGTTGTAATGCATGGTAGTTCTAACTTAGAAATCTATGCGGATGAAATCGTAGTGTATGACCATTCAAGTGAAAACTATTGACTAGTACTTTCATATGGTACTGTTTATTATGCTGTGCAAGGTGGTTCTAACTTTGAAGTCTGTGGCTGTGCAAGGTTATTCTAACTTTGTAGTCTGTGGGTGAAATCCTAGCATGTGACCATTCAGATGAAAGCTACTGAGCAGTACTTTCATGTGACACTATTTATTAAGCTGCACAAGGTGACTCTAACTTTGAAGCCTGTGGCTGTGCAAGGCTGTTCAAACTTCGTAGTCTGTGGGTGAAACCCTAGTGTGTGACCATTCAGATGAAAGCTATTGAGCAGTACTCTCATGTGATTCTGTTCATTATACTGTGCAAAATGAACCCTCGTGTGCCAACATTTTAAAACTACTCGGTAATGTTTTCTTTTACTACCAACAATTTTTTCAACATTTTGAACTGAAATAAAATTTCGCTTTTTTTGTGAGTCTTCGACTCAAGAATAGCCGGGAGTGAAAAGCTATTTACGACGACTCCTGCTTTTGATCATTAATCAAGTCTGAAATCTCAGTTCCTTAGCTCCAGTTCATACTTCACCGATAAAAGATTAACCTCCACGAAAACTGCATCGAACAGCTGGTTAAATATCAAAGTTACTTAAGAGCGATTCAGCTAAGTATATAGTACTTAAACATTCCATAAAGAAAACAGTTCCCAATTCCGCCGTAAATTGTTCAGTTGACGCATATTCAGTTCTTGCAAAAATTCTGAGGAAAATGGAAGTTTTGGAAATATAAATCTACTGCAAATTATTTTTTAGAGAACAAATATGACATTGGTCAGACAAACACTGGTGAACACTATGTAACTTCCGGTATGTCTTCTTGACAAACGACGAAAACAAAATGGCGACTTGTACAGAGGCGAGCACTAAAATGTAGATTATATTGAAATACACCAATCGAACAAGAATCGTTTTATAAAACTTCTGAATGGGTGAAAAAGCTACAATAGATATTTAAATTTGATTTTATAATCAGATCAAGGCGTGCTCTTGACGACTTGCATTGAATAGTGTTTTGTGAAAATGAAATGTATGTGTGCTCTCCTAAGAGTAGAGAACACTTGGAGCAGGATGGCGCAGTGGTGAGAGCGCTCGCCTCCCACCAATGTGGCCCGGGCCTTGAGCCATACGTGGATTGAATTTACTGTGTGTTCTTACCTTCTTACAACAGTTGTTCTCCTGATTCTCCAGTTTTCCAGGTTTTCTCCCCCCTGAAAACCTATGTTTATAAATTCCAATTCCACGTCTACACAGGACCCACAAGAAAACCAGCTAAGGCTGACGTGGCTTCTTCTCTCTAAATATTGTAATTACGTTTTAACCTTGTGGAAGGAGTTCAAGAAGTATGGCGTTTCATCCTAGAAGAGTAAAACATTTGTTGTATTGTCCTGAATATATTTAAACCGTTTACCCCCATAGGCAGAACTCATGTAAACTATTGTGGCTTCAACACCTATGACTGTGGCTCTACATAGAAGTATAGCGTTTAACCCTAGAAGAGTAAAACATTTGTTGTATTGTCCTGACTATATTTTAACCCATTTACCCTCATAGGCAAAGCTCAAGTAAACTATTGTGGCTTCAACACCAATGACTGTGGCTCCATTAACTTCTAGTGTAAGACCATTGAAATGATAGAATTTGGGCAGCACTTTCATGTCAGTGTTGCTGTTTGTTTGCGAACATTTTGGGAACAAAACTTGAGCTCTATGGTCAAGCTCTTGAGAGTGAAAGAATAAATTAAAGACCTTACAAATTGACTCAGTTATGAACGTCAAAGCATCCTCATTCCACTGCGTTTATAACAAGTAATGGCGGACTTCATCACTGTAAAGTATGTACCATCAAGCACTGACTCATTCAACATGCAAAACAATCAGATAGTGCTTTTGGAGCGAGTGGAGAGATTCTAATATAAGATTGATCAAAGATGACTATGTAAGCGATAGACTGATTGGACGCACTTTCGATTCAAAGCTGAATTGAAACTCCTAGTTGTTTACGTTTTTCGGAATTCCTCTAACTTTCCACTCCTAGTCGCCATTTATTAAGCCTCCAATTTTTGTTCAACACTATTTCTAGAGTACCAAAGAAATGTTTTCGATTTAGCCCTTTTATCACCAAAAAACTGCCTTGCTATAAAATGAAAGAAAATTCTCAAGTTTTGATTTGAGAATTTTTTTAATCAAACCTTGTACTATATAACAAACAGCAGCAAGTTCGTGATGGTATCCTGAACATAATGCTCAATAACCTTCATCACAAGGGTCATAGGCTGATGTTGTTTCACTGATCCCCACCTTGTACAGCTTAATAAGCAGCACCACATGAAAGTACTGATCAATAGCTTTCATTTGAATGGTCACACACTAGGGTTTCATCCACAGACTTAAAAGTTGGAACCATCATGTGCAGGATAATAAACAGTTATGTACCACCACATGAAAGTACTACTCAATAGCTTTCATTTGAATGGTCACTCGCTAAGATTTCATCCCCAGACTTAAAAGTTAGAACCACCCTGTACAACATAATAAACATTACGACATTGATGTACTGCTGAATAGCTTTCATTTGAATGGTCACACACCAGGATTGAATACTCTCAGAGTAAAAATTTAGGATTAGTCCTGGTAAAACTCAAAACAGCTGACTTCAGGTACACGTCTGGGAACGAAAGGTTAAATGCTTCATTAGTTCATCTGTTATTTAGGTAAAAATCAGATCAGTTTTTATAGATCTAACGCATCATCTCGGAGGAAAAGTTGGTTCAATGCCTGCGAACAGCATCTTGTTGTTCTTGACAAGTGGAGGAGTAATTTTAACAGCTTACAGATTAAAACTAGCTTAAATAAGTGCATTAAAGTGAATTCGTGTGTTACGTTTACGCAACAGAAGATTGTGAAAGAGCAAAATTCCTTTACGCATTACGGAATGATACGAATAGTTACAAATCCGAACAAGGATGCTTTGAAAATGTTTCTCAGGTTAACTGTACACTGTATAGCAACGAAGTTTCGCAATTCCGGAAAGGCAAGTGAACGAAAACTAAAAGAATACAACTTTTTTGATCGTACGTTTACTGTCTCCCTTGACGGGAACAGTTTTGTCTTTTGGCAAATTTTCAAACAATACTGCTTTCAGGGCTAAAGAGTTATCACAACATACCAGTAAATCTCACTGGAGAGGAAATAACATCAAATATAACAGAAATATCTTATGTGTATAGGGGAAATAAGTACAATTTAACGGACTTTAGTGGAGGAATCCGTTATACCAGACGGTGTAGATTCGGGGGCGTTACCAAAGAGGCAACAGTGATTTTTCCCATGAAGAATGTCGTTTCTCACGGCTTGCAAGTCCATACATGATTTTGACACCTCGCTTTACTGACAGTGATCAGCAAAATACTCGCCATGCCAAATTCTAAACTGAATAGTAACAAAAAGTGTATACAAATAAAAAAGGAATTCCGACAAAGAAATCTCGCTTTCTCGAACAGTTGAATCCTTACACACTGTAATAAAATCGATGTCGCACGGTTTAGGCTGAGAAAATGGCGACCCTCTGAAGTGTCTTCTCACTGCAGAAAAACCAACCCGCAATGTTCTTTTCGGTGCCTAACGATGATGAGTTAATATTTGAGTCTTTCTCGCCAAAGAAACGCTTTAAACTTTAGAACTAGGGAATCAGAGTGTGAATTTATACAAAGAAGAATGAAACTCGGTCCAAATTCATGTGATACGATTGCATTTGAATATATTGTATCGAACGGTGTTGACCTCTTGGCTTCAGCACAAATTGGTACACACAATAGTTACAAACCTTGTTGTGTCCTTGTCGAGATTCAAGTGTCCTAGAGCTTTCAAAATCGAATACGAACGATCTTTTCACAATATTAAGCTGCATTCTGGAGGATCGCCATATTGTGTATTCATTGAATAAAACTCCTGGTTTGCTTCATCTAAAAAACGTTGAGACGTATAACCCTCCAAACAATGCCCGGAAAAGCATAAAATTACAACAGTTAGAGAGAAGTGCATAGTGGATTCCCGATTTTTCGAACTTCCAAGGGAAACGAAAATCGGGTAGTTCGAGAAATTGGGGATAGAATTACAGTGTTCGACCAAGAGAAGAGAAGCGACTATTGGTTCGAGTTATCAAGTGGTTCAATATATCGAGGGTTTGAGAAATCGGTACTCTACTGTACATTCAATTTAAAGCAATGTCTGTGAAAGGTGATTTCATTTTGTACAATTCCACGTCATAAAGTCAGCTACTGAAGCCACGAAATGAGAAAGAAAGAGTAAAGTCTAAGATTATGTCCAAATTCTTGTTGAGAAATTTATAGAAAATGTCGGAGAAAGATAAGGAGAAAATGAATTTTGAACTTTTTTCCATGGGAGATCTCAAAGTTTACCTACAGCAAACCTAAAACAGTACATCTGAAAACATCTAAACCATCGTTTTCCAAATTTTGACAACAAATAGTGCAACATGGAAATAATGATACTCGATAGAATTTGTATGACAAGCATCATTGATTTTGATTGACAAGGACACGTGACACTCCGCTGTATGCCGATTGGTCGACAGTGTAACACCACACCGTGTTTGGTTCGTCGAGTCACGTCTGTCAGTGACAGGGCTCTCATGGGCCCACCTGTGTTGTCATCGCATCTTTCCACGAGGAAAAGTCAATTATTGAGAATTGTCGAAAGCTCGTAAATTTAATACCTGTCGAGAGTTTGTCTGCCGTTATTTTCCTGAAAGAAATTGCAACACAACTGACCACAATCCGGCTTACATTGAGTTTGTAAAATTGGCCAAATTCCACCGTGGAGCTTCATTCCAGGGATCGATGCCATGTTTGTATACTTACCGAATTGTTAGCCTACCTGGTTTTTAAAACAGGTCGAGCGAGCTTGCCATAAAGCCCAGAAACATCCAGAAAGCTTCCAGAGCAATGTTACCCTGAACAATGTAATAGTGCAATGGCAAATGAGTCTGAGCACTATTGAGTTAAAGCTGGGAATCTCTGGTGAATATGACATTTTGCAGTGCACAATGAAATATCCTGCTTTCCGTTTTTCCCGCTGTTTAATCCCATGTCATTATCATTGTTACACCATGATCGCCATCATGCATCTATTGAGTTCAAATAACTGTCCTTAAATACGTGCCTAAATCCATTAAACAACTATCGTTTGTTTGTCGTTTTTGACAGCCTAAATCCGGTAAAAGGAAGTGAATTAATCAAGACACTATCATGCGAGAGTGAATGCCATCAGAACGAGGAATTTTAATACCCATAAACCTGCAGCCCATTTTCGTCTTTCCATTGCGGTTGCTTGCACTCCTTCACGCTTTTTCCGTGACGGTTTTCTGGTAAATCCGGGTTCATGAGACGGCTAAGTGACCCCTGGCCTTGTTGTGCTGTTTTACGTCAGTCTGCTTCTTAATCCCCTGTCTCTTACAACATTCAACACTCATGTGTTACTCTGGCATTTCCGCCTCGGGAAATCAATTTTGTTTTTGTTTGTCTTGTAAAGTATTGCACTTATCTAAATTATTTTTAAACTCTTACGGATCAGCACCTCGCCAACTGACCAATCACAGGACTGTCTGTGTAGTGTTAACGCGGGCCCCACTCGATAAGGTCCCGCCCTAATATCCGGTGTTTTGCCACACGCGCTAGACGACACAGTAAAGGGTCGCATCATAAGCCAGCCAGCAAACTTATGCGTCACACAGCACAGCTGGAACATGGCCCAACTCAATTCAAAACAATCTATTACTTTCTCAATCGATGGTATTCTTAGCTCTGGAAACGAAAACGAAAACCTGCGAAGAAACTCGGTGGTTTGTAGAGAAACCTCCTGCAAAATTGAAACGATTCCTTCGGGTACAAAATCGACGACAAACGGTGAAAGCAGTACTATGCTAGCGAGTCACAACAGCAAGACTAGGATGAATAAAGAATCAGGTAAGTCTTATAAATCCCTTGCTCTACTTTATTTTAAGAGGTTTTAATTTGTGACTGCTGTCCTAGCAAGCAAAAGCCGTAACTCACTACTTCAGAAGTGCTATGAACGTTATTCAAAGAACAGCATCTAAGGAAGGGTTCTGGTCTGACTCAATGGTCTGCTCTGGTCACTCATTTGTAGAACAGGAAACAGGAACGCACGTTTTCATCTTAAATTCTGAGCTTCATTTTCTCGTTGAAGAGTTAAAACAAGAACGCTAATCAGTGGAAATTGTCATTGTGTTTTTGTATTCCTAGTTCAAGATTAAAATTCAATTATACTGTGATGTGTTTTTTCTCGCCTGGTGAACGTATGTCGTTGACTGGCGTTTGGGCTTGTGACTGTTTATTATGGAGCCTTCGGGATATCAATTTGTGTAATAATTACTCGTCATAAAAAAGTTAACTCGATCAAGCATAATCATTATTTTAGAAGTGGAAAATGCAAATATTATTCCGTTCAAATGTGTTTGAATCCAATTATAGTGGCATCGAGATGGATGGACCAAATTGGATAACGTTTTAACCAGATCATCTGAAGATTTCTACATCCTCTTCTTCCTGATAAATTATCATGTCTAAGGACTCAAAAGGCAGCTTTGTGTTATCGCAAAAGACCCGGATTTACACAGGAATCAAAATCCATCCTTCAACTTAGGAGTTTAATTTAAGTAATAATCGTCAAATTTGTCACGGAATTTAAGACGAAACAAATATAATTATTTGTACCAACACCAGAATTTGAAAATCTTACAAAAGTTTTATTAACAGTCCTGTGCTCTCCATTGCGGTTTTCAGAATTATTTTAACATGACTAAAAGAGTTTTTAGGTCATTTAGTTTTCATGTCTCTTGAGCTAATGCATTTCTTCATCTGAACGTGTCAACTGGCGATGTTCTTTGATAAGTTCACCCTCAGTCTCCGGAAGGATATAATTACCGTATTTACTTGAAAATAACTCTGCGTATTTAATCGATTCAGCGTTCAGCCTCTAAAATAGTGATCTGTTTTAGTTCGGCACGTATTTTTGTTGCATGAATGTGAATTGGAGCTTAGAATCAAGAAAGGAAAGTATTTAAAAAAACGTGAAGGGTTGTATTTATCGCTTTCAATCCGCAATCGAGAGCGCTGTGTGGTTAGGATTATAAGGTGAAATTATCTCCACTACGGAGACAGGAAAAACGCAACAACTTTCTAATAATCTTATCTCAATCACTTCAATTCACACGCATTGTGTTCGGGCCAGAACGAATTGGTACAGTTTTCAGTTGCCAATACAATGAACCCGCTTAAGTTCTTGAACACTGAGTTTTAAAAGCAAAAGCTGGAATATAATTAATATGCATTGTTGAGAATTATGGAATAAACGATCATGCAATGAACATACTTGAACCTCTTAACACAGACGAGTTCGCAAAGCCCTGACAATTTTGAGTGTGTATTTAAAAAGGGGGGCACTTATGGTCATGCAAATGAACTCGTAAAACTATTCAAAAGGAATTCAATTTATGCTACAAAACCTGAACAATTTCTGTTTTTCATGCGATTTTGACCAATCCTTGGACAGTTAGACAGAAGTTGACAGAATCCGGTCAGGCTCGGAGTCGTTCATGCTGATCTGTCTGACAACTCGGGCGCCATTTTGTCTAAACATGCTACGCTGACCCCAAGAGATTACACTCAGCGTAGAATGGAGAGTGTAAATTTTTTAGTAGGGGGCGGAGTTGCGTTGTTGAGACACTCTTGGATCGACGCATTATCGTTTCGAGGCACGCAACGGTTTTAAAACAAAAACGATGTTCTTCATGATCATTTCTCCCACATGCCTAGACACTCCACTCATTGAAATGCAAAATTAAATCAGAATTCATTATCTATCCAAATGAGGTTCTCATCAAGTCATGTGCCTTTGGGTTGGAAGTGTGGAAACGAAAAATGGTAGAAATGTGGTTTGGAGGATTAATTAAGTTTAAGTCTTACACATATCACTAAATCGACATGTATATGGCCCTTGCGACCAAATGTCTACTTCTACATTTTTATGGCAACGCTCAGTTTAAAGATTTTCATTAGATATAACCTGTCAGTTGTGAAATCAGGCGAAATGAATTGGTAATTGAAGAGACAAAATAGAGTGGAAGTGATTTTTCATTCCACCAGAAACAGCTGAAACAGAAAATAATTAAGAAGGGCTGAACGTAGAAATGTGTAGATCCCCTTGCTTTGGCCTACATATTCAGTACTGGCACATTATTTTTGCAGTTTAGAGCGTTGAAATGTCTGTCCTAGTTTATACCTCATGTACTCCGTTTAATCCTACTCTATATATAGTGTTCCCGAGTTGTCTTTTTTAGCTCAAATGATATGAACAAAGAACAAGATTTTTCAGGAAAGAGTTTTCAACCAGAAATCGCACCTAGTTGCAAATGTATTGATGTATTCTACACAAACAAACTTTCGAAACGTGAAAGATTCCCGGGCTGTTAATGAAGTATATGTACTAAAAGTTACCGTGATCAACCTTCGTTAACAGCTGAAATAACATAGAAAATGTTCCATCTTTGAAAAAAGGTTTACCACTAACCCGGTTTGTATAAATATACAAAGGATTTAGACATGTTTTCAATTCTTGTTTTGGAAACGAGTTGAGTATTAATAAGGCGAGATTCCAGAGAATCCATTCTCAGGAAATTACACCTTCTTCTCGTAGTGCTTTTCACTAATTTGCGGAAATTTATTTCATTAATTAAGATTTAGCTCAGTGTCTGTAAACATTGAGGAATATTTACCTCAACTTCGGTGAATAATTGTTAATATAAACTGTATTTGTTCAGCTGTGATATGAGGCTGTGAATATCACTTATTTTTACGCGCTTTTGTCTATTGATGCATACGTGCGATTGTTGAGGATGGAGATAAATGTCATAGATGTGAGGTCTTCGTCGACGTGATTTTTAAGTGAGTGTTGTTGGCTTAGTTTTAATTCATAGGATCACCAAACCAGAGGGGTCACACTTTTAACAATAGACTTGGTTCGCTAAAGAATGCTGCTCGCGTTCGTACTTTTTTTAGTGAAAGCGCGCGTGCACCAGGTTTTGAAAGACGATTAGTGTTTAAATGGTAAATACGCCTATTTTTTAAAGTTTAGAGGTATGCGTCTGACTTCTGGGAAATGTAACTCGTCGCTAGAGGCATTTTATGGCGTAGAACACTATCGTAACCTTATTTTGAAACGCTTAGTGATATACAGGTAGTTGCGGTATAATCGTGATACAATGGCCTTGGGGTAATGTTCGTGTCTATTTTTATTAGACTACAGCCTGAAAGAAACTGGCGATGCAGACAGCATGGATGCCACAAAGCCGAAATCGTCCAACCCTAAGAAAAAGAGACGTGTATTATTTTCAAAGGCTCAGGTTTTTCAACTAGAGAGTAGATTTCGCGTCCAAAAGTACCTTTCGGCCGTTGAGAGGGACCAGCTGGCGAGAATGATAAACTTAACGCCTTCGCAGGTAAAGATTTGGTTCCAGAACCATCGTTACAAGAGTCGCCAACAGATTAAACAAGACGGGCAATTTGAGGAGGATATCAAGGCACCTTGTGGAGGACACTACCATCCTGCAGAGGTCCCGTGCTTACAGCCGTGCCCTTATTACGAGCCAAGGGACTCGATCAATTCATTCCCCTCAGCCTTTATGCCTTGGGCACCGGTGTGCCCGTCTCCTTCACTGTCTCCAATGAACAGTTTCTCGATAGCAGCGCGGCAAAATCAACATTTTACCAGCTATCCTTCGTGTCAGTATGAGGCCCAGAGACAGCGTCTCTATCATCCTTCAGTATTTTATTAGTGTCACCTCCCATCACTCTGTAAAGATAACTTTTTAAGAAATATTGTAACCACTAAGGACAAGATTGGTTTATGATTCATTCATTTCATTCATTCAACGAATTCTTTCTAACCCAAATTTGCAATGACTCGATCGAGATTTATACGATGCAATTTTAGTCAGGGTCGGCCATGGGATGGGGGGGGGGGGGG